TGCTTTTCTTGTCAAGATGTTACAGTAATGAGCATAAGAGAAGGAAGCAGGGAACCACTTTCCCCTTGGAGTCTTAATACTGATGAGCAGACAGCAAACAAAGTAAAAATAAAAAGCTGTCTGCCTTAAATGCAGACAGGTAGGCTTTGCATGGTTGAGCTGGTAGCACTGGAGCTAAGAGGTCAGGAAAAGACTGAGCTTTGCCAGAATGAAAACAGGCTGGAGGCTTGCAGGTAGTAAAAGGCAAGTCAGAGACCAGGAAGATCAAAAAAAGATTTTAAAAAAGAAGGTGGTAATTGCAACCTTGTAAATTAAACAAGAAGCCTCAGGAGGTGAAGAAGTAAGTTCATGAAGGCAAGGTCTAGGAAGGCAGAAAGACAAGGACTGCAACAGGGAGAGGTAAATGTAGCCACTACAGCCAAGTTTAAAGGCTTAGCTTATATGATCAGATATATAAAATAAAGGCTGAATGTAGATAACAACCTAGGTTATCTAGGTTATCAAGAAAATCACTCTTGATTGGGAAACAAAGCACACACCTTTCTAGCACTCACATTAATGACTCATTCATTCATCAGTAGGAAAAAGGATTACTTACAACACCTGGGAAGGAAAGCACTGGTGATACCAAATGTGGTGGTAACATGTTTTCAAGCCCAGCAGTTTGTAATATGTGTTTCCCTGCATGGTTGATATGTTTTTTCTTTCTTTCATGCCCTGCTCTATTCACAGTTGACAGGTCACTGCATGACTGGACACATGGCAAGACAGCAAGTGTGATTTACATGTCATGACAATTATGTGAAGTAAATGGCCACTCTTACACAGACTTCAACCCTACAGACCTTCTTGAACATCATATCAGTAGATGTTAGGGCAGGGGGTCGTTATCAGGCTCTGGAGCAGATGCGAGTCCTTTTTACACAGACATTGCTGCCTCAAGCCAAAGGTAGGCATCTCCTGGACAGGACATCCTTCAGGGCCATGGCTTATCACACCATTAGAAAGCAGCTCTTCTGAGTATCCCTAGTTTTACCTGTTGGAAGTAGGCAAGAGGAGGCAAATGTTCTTGGAAGACACACTGCGTGCCTTTTCTTAACTCCCATACTAAATTAGTCTTGAGTTTCCTGAGGACCTGCATTCCTCCATGCAAACCTGCAAAAGTTCATTACATCCCATTCTCCAATTAATTAATGAAGATGATAATGACAACTCCAGTATCAATTGCTTAAGAATGCAGAAATGATCAGTTGCTAGTTGGACTTTTTACCACGGACCACAGACAGTATCCCTCTAAGCCCAGCTGGTGAGCTAATTTTCCACATACTGCATGGGTCACTTATCCAAACTCTCTCTCCTCAATTTGGCTACAAGAATACTATGCAAAACCAAGTAAAAAGTCTTGTTAAACATTTTGTACAGTCAACTAGTCCACTGAATCTGTCATCTCATCATAAGGCCATCAGGTTGGGCAGGTATGATTTACTCTTTGTAAATCCAATCTGACCACCTCAATTTTTTCTTTACTGCACTTTGGTAGTCATGTCTTAAAGGATTGTTTTATAACCCTCCCAAAGAATGAGGTCAGGCTGGCTGACCAGTCTCCTGTAACAATGTGGATCATCTTATTGTCTTTGAAAATGGGTGGCAAATTACATACATATTTTTTTCGCACTCATCCGTGACTCTCTCGGGGCACAAAGACAAGAATGATAGAAGTGGCAGCTCTTCCTACTGACACAGTTTCCTAGAAGGAAATGGGAAGGAGAGACAGATACCAACAAGAGAGGATGCTGCACACCACATCCTACAGTTCTGTATCTACCAGGGCTCAGCAGGAACCAGCAGCTCCTAAAGGCAGGGGCCAGAAGCCGAGGGAGAAACCACAACTGGCAGGGCAGGGTCCTCACCAGCCAAGGCCCCAAACCTGGGCCCATGAGCAGGAGGTGTGGGTGGAGGACACAGAGGACCATTAAGACCTATTAGTGCTCTCAGAGCCATGACAGGATCCATGGTTTGTACAAAGTAACCCCACCAGAGACTTTCACACTGCAAGTGCTTTCAAGTACAGGAAACAACTCGACAATGGGCACAAGTCACATCTGTGATGGGCACCTTCAGTGCTAGGGAATGCCCTCATGCTCACATCTGTCAGTTCAAACAACACAGCCCCAGTTTTCACACAGCATCTTGCCTATCCAAGGCCAAGCACTTGCTGTAGCATCGTGGCTTCAGTCAGCACCGTAAGGAGCAGGAGAAATGGCATCTGATTAAGAGCACTGAAGGCAGAGCCTTCAGTGTCAGATGAATGCAGCAACTATGCAGTAAGTGTAGCACAGGCTGCAGGCCAGACCTAAGTGCAAAGACAGCTACTGAACTGTACAGTAACCAACCAACATAAGAACCGAGCAAAAAGTACATGGCCACTCTATCCCAAAGATCCTAGCCATACCAAAACAGTTGGCACAAGCCACCACGTAAACATGAGTCACAGAGCTAAGATTCACTCCTTGGCATGAGAGGAAGGAGATGTAGCTGTACCCACTGGGACTCAAAACTGGCATTCTCACTTACTGGATGCACAAGGTCAGTAAGCAAACTTCTCCAAATATTTGGAATATAAACATCATGGGTCACTGGATTCAATAATTTCCTATTGAAAAGAATTCACTCAAGCATTTAAATCAGCTTCATATATAATTGTGCAGAACAAAATCCAGACTAAATTCTTGACAGGAACCGTGTGTTGTTTGTACTGGGTACACTTAAGGCTGCAATGAATCTTCTCTAGTGCAGGCAGTATAATACAGGTAACTAAACTCCCGTGAAAATGCAAAATAAAACCTTCTCAGAGTTGCCAACATTATTACAAAATCCTTCAGAGGCAACATTCCCCACAGACTAATAGTTTGGCATCCAGCCAGACAAACAAACAAACAAAAGTCTAAGTTACTAGGACACTGTGCCAAACATGCAATTAAAATCTTCCCAAATAGTTTCCCAGTTTGACAGAATAAACATACATTTGAATGGAAGGTGAGGACTTCTGTTTCCCCAAAAACTCTATTTTTAATTGAACATACAGAGAGTTAGGATATTGGGATGTTATGCTCCACTGGATAATTAGAGATGCCTGCACACATAACTAGTCACCAGTGAAGTAGTACTGAAGGCTTGCAGGCCAATTCCCAATTCCAAGTCAGAGCAGGAATGAAAAAAAAACATGCTGAAGAAGACAGAACACATTTCTGATGTTTCCTTAACATGCTGTTAAGATTTCATTAGAAAAAGCTTGGGTTTAAGTCCAGTTCTCACTTAAAACTACTTCCCTTTAACAAGGAAGATCCAGCATTTATTTTAAAGCTGCTTTTGATCTAAAGGAATACTTTCAATGCCTACTTAACTGCAATCAACACAGCTTGATACTTTTAAACTAAACAAAAAAAGACAAGGCATAGTCCTCCAAAGTTTATTTCAAGTATAAAAGTAATTCAATGAAATATCTACAGGTTTTTCTTTCTGCATAAAGGTTTAACAAGATAGAATCAAGTACCAAATTTCTGAAAAAATATTTTTTGATTCAAAATTTTGAATAATGAAAAGGCACTTAAACAAAAGATACCCAGCAACAAATATAACTTTTCTATCACAGTCAATGTGAAATGAAACATTATCTAACACTTTATAATAAAAGAAATTAATTACAGTCTGTTTAAATTGAGCAACTTGGTCCAGACAAGAGTGAATTCAAACTCCCTGCACTTCAACAACAGCACTTTTCTTTCAAGTGTAAAGACAGCTACAGAAAGAAAGAAAAACAAGTAAGTCTTCAGTCAACTAACACCTTACAAAACTGTTTACAGCACTGAGTTCAAACTAAGAACTCAGTTCAATTTGTACAAGTTACACAAAAAGAAATGTAACAAAACTGGGTAGCAGCACAGATACTTCATAAATACCCCTGATCTGTATGCTTGATTTGAGGGCTTTAAAGTTCTATTCCCAGTTTAAAAAAGTTTCTACAAAAACAGAAGCCTTTTAAAAGCAAAACAATTAGACTAGCGTAAGTAGAAAATAAAAGTGTAATGCTTGGAAATCCACTGCAATCCCTTTCCGGTAGAAATATTCTTCCACTGTCAGTAATGGAAAAGTAATGGAAAATACCACAAGTTAAGTTTTTGAGAATCAGAAAAGAGGCTATGACAATTTAAATGAGTTTGATCTTTTTTTTTGGCCAAGATTCAGAAAACTCCCCTATCTTAAAAAAAAAAAAAAAAAAAGTAAAAAAAATTCAAACATGCTTAAAGAAACAGTACATTTAACAACAGCATTTGCAGCACCAAAGCATATTTGTGCAATAAATACAGAAGAAGATGTCAATTATTTACAAATATGAGGAAAACGGGGGGGAAATTCTAACACCTACCAAAAGCTGTGGTTTTTTACAATTATTCAGAAATATGAAGTAAACTGAAAAAAAGCATCTTAGTGTTGGCATTTTTTTCTCAGTGATACTGAATAAGACCTCTGATACAGGACTGCTATCAAGGCTTTTGCATCTTTTTTTCCAGATACATTTTCCTGTAGGTCTGAAACATCTCTTTTGAGTCCTTGCTTGGAATGTGAAGAGTCTCTCCATCTCCATCCAGGATCTGTAAAGCTGTATCAAGTGGAATACTGTCCTCAGCTGCAAGACAGACAAGGAGGTTAAAGCAAGAGCTTGAGTGTCAAAGGACTCTACTCTTTATGCAGATGATATTTAAGGCCCTCCAGTGTGTCAAAAAGGACTCCACAAACTTCCTTCCTAAAGCAGCAGGCACTTCAGATTTAAATCAATCTCCAATGTATCTTTAAGCCCAAAATGGCCATCTGGGTGTCTTCGCACCCAAGATTTCTGAAGAATATTAAGAAAGGTGTGACATAAAACGTGCATTTGTGAAAATAAGAGACAAAGCAAGAGGAAGGGCTAAAAGGATGGCAGAGACCAACAGCCAAGGACACAGGCAACAGCATTAAAAGATACAAATGTTGCAGAACATGTTGCTTGCATCAACACCACAACACAGATATGAGCATGCAAGTCCTCTGCTGACAAGTTAAGAAGCGGATGGCAACGTGGCTACAGCATGCTGCATGCACCACTTTGTTTCCTTTCAGATGAGAAGAAAAGCAAGACTATAGCTAGGAAGATGCTTAAAGCAAAGAAGCAAAGACAGTTGCGAGCAGCCTCACCCAAGATTCACAAAGGATGGAACAAGCAAGATCCTGAGATGAAATATGTGGCTATTGTAACAGTTGACTCCTTCAGAGTATAAAAGACCATCCAAAAAGCAATTTGCCAATCAAGTAAAACAAGGAAGAAGTAGTAGTGGCCCCACTTTTCCTTTATGTGTCATACAAGTGACCTTGACTAGACTACTGGGACACAGGCCATGGAATTCGTGAGCACAGGTGTATGCATGGACAGCAGCAAAGTACCGTGAAAGCTAGATTTAAAAAATAAAAATCACTTTATGTTTTTAAAGTCTCACATGGGATTTTGCTACATCACTTCCTACATTTTAAAGTTTGAAAGAGCTAGCTTGGTATTTACCTACAATTTAAAACTGTACTTGAATGTTGTTACCAGTGCTACACCCAAGTCAACTGCACACAGGTATGCAGGAAAATTACAGTGATCTCCAACAGTATATTTGTAAGGCAGTAAAAAGCTCCACAGATCTTTGAAACTCATATGTCTACTCTACAGTATCCATTTAATCAGCAGAACTAGTAAAGAATAAGTTGAAATGCTTTATTAAGGTTTGCTACTGTAAAGGAACACTTAAAACCAAGCAAAGAGTATTTAACTTATATTTCAAACTGGATACTCAGATGGTATTTCACCTTTAGAGATCTCTTCCAGTTTCTTTTGCTTCAGTGGTTCACATTTTAACCAATCTTCTTTTTTACTCTTGACACCTAAAAAGTGAAATTTTTAAAAAATATATTTTTGAGGTTCTTATAGCACAAGTTTTGGTCTCTATTCAGCATCAAGTTTTAACACATATACTAGCACATGCTAGGAAATTCCCTTTGGGTGTGAAAATGACTGCAAGGGCTGCTATGTGCAACCTAAGATTTGGTTTTATTTAAAAATCAAATACAGAATTTGACACAAATATGCCTCACAATGCCCCATGCTGAGAGATTTGGGACAGGGGAGAAGAGGAGGGAAAAAAGCAACTTAAAGCAAAGATGGCAAAGGTAATGGGGACTTAGTCCAGGAAATGTCAGACCCAAGCTCGCTCTCTTCCTCAGTGGCATGAAAGATCTCTCCTTCCATTGTCTGCCCAGCCAGATTATCTACATCCAGGTGAACAATGAATACAGATCAGATCACCTTTGTTACCTATGACAAGAGAATCTACTTTCTACGAACAATCCAAGCTGTCTTCTACAAGTCAGTTAGAAAGGCAACTTGAAGCTACTCGAAACTGCCGTGCTCCAGAGTACTCTAACTTCACTCTGTAAGACTCAGAGAAAATTGAAGGAATCATGTTCTTTTTCAGCTTAACATACAGCTCTGGTCTGTCAGAGAACTAGCTGTGATATCTCAGCCTTCAGCTTCTAAAGTCTCACGTTTCCACTATCTGTGGTTTCAGAACACAAACTTAAAAAGAAGCACATACTTCTTACTTACAAATTAATAATCAAGATAGCGTCATACCTGCTACGACGACTTTATCTCTTTCCAGGGAATTCTTCACAGCTAAGCTTTCTTCACCAGTGGTTGAATTTCTGAACAGTATCTCTGGACACAGCTTAAATTCAAGTACTTCCTGCTTGCATGGTTTCTCGACTGCTGGGGCAGGCGCATCTTTTTTCGAATCAGTGTTTTGTGACACTTTGCTTTTCCTGTGCCAGACGGGTCTGACAGGTGATGTCTCTAATTTTGTCAGATAGATGCGTTCCTGTGCTGTACGTTTAAATGCAACCCTGTTCAGGTAGTGTTTTTTTGGCTCCTTTTGAAGATGCAACTTCAGTCTGTTATTTCTTCTGTTTATGTATAGCAGGTTTTTATCAGGAAACATTTTCTCAGAGCACTTGTCTTTGTTTTGACCATCGAGACGTCTTTCTTTGTTAGAAAAGTAGTTTTTAGACATGGTAGAAGATAGAGCCCTTTTTCTCTGTAATTTAAGCACAGAGTGATCTGCTAAGGAACTCTTTGGTTTCCAGACATTTTCTCCATTCAATTTTTTAGCTCTATCAGAATTTATCACGCAACTATGTGCAACCTGCTTAAAATTCTTTGCTTCAGATTGTTTTAGTCTTTCCTCTTCCACCTTTGCTTTTTTAAGTTCTCTCTTCCCCATCAGGTTTTCCTTCATCTTCCGTTTGTACGCCTGCTCCTGCGAAGGATGAACTTTAACAGATTTATGTGGAGAGTATTTTGCGTTTTTTGACTTAAAGTCTACAGCGCCAAAATTTGAGAACTTTACAGCATCAGCTCGGTAACTATTCAGCTTTTTATGTTTTATTTCTGCTGGTAGTTTACCTTTCTCTTTGACATTAATTCCTACATCTTGCCCAAGCATCTCCTTTTCTTTACTACAGTTCTGTCTTTCAGCTGAGTTCTCTTCACAAGTTTTAATATTTTGCCCTTGATTGACTTCAGAGTGCTTAATTTCTACAGTTTCTGACTTATTAATTTTGTGAATGTGAGTTTTGGATTTCACAGTCAAACCTGGTTTATCTTTTGAAAATAACTCAGTTTTGAAAACTCTCTCTTTCTTTCCAGATGACTTTGTCATGTTGTCTGCATGTGTGTGACTAGGTTTCTCCAGCAATTCTTCTGAGACTGTCTGATGTTCTTTTTTGTCAGAATGAAATTCTTTGCTAGGCAGTGGGGTTCCTTTGTCAGTCTGCAGCTCTTCTTTACAGCTGCTGCTTTCATATTTATCAGCATCTTGGTTTTCAAAACAATTACGTGGTCCAGTATTTTCCTGTTTTACTGTAGGCAGTGTATGTTCATCATTCATGTTCAGCCCAGGATTTTTGTTCATTGCAGAGGTGTATTTGCAAATATCTTCTTTATTTTCGCTAATACTGTTTGGGATTTCTTCAGAAATTGTCTGGGTTCCAACTGCACAGTTTTTCTTTGTTAGGGCATCAGATTTACTGTTGTTTTCTTGTCTCTCTGCAGAGGTACAATTTTCAGCTTTTGAAAGTTGATAATCATTTTTCTCTGAACCAGATGTTCCTGATTTACTGGGACAATGTGGCATTTTACATCCTACAGATACACAACCCGTTAATGAACAATCTTCGTTTTTTTCACTGGGGTTGGAATTTTCTTGTGTTTTTTTTTCTTTCTCACACATACACTGAGTAGGTTGAACACTGCCTTCAGGGTTCTCCTCAGCTGAAGCTTTTTCTGACTGTTGACTCACTGCTCTCTTGTTGTCACCAGAGGGACACTGTTTGTGTTCAGGAAAAAGTTCTTGAACCTGATCAGAGCTTAACACTGCAATTTTTATCTGATTTACTGGGTCCTTCAAATTAGAATTCTTGTCACATATTTTAATCTTTTTTTGAGGTTGATTCTCCATCCCTTCAGCCCCAGAATGACTTTGTGCTGGTTCTTTTCTTAGCATATCAGCACTTTCAATGCCATATGGAAACTCTTTCACTAGTTTAGCCAGCTGATTGCTTAGGTATTTACACGGTTTTCCTCCAAAAGAGTTTATCTCTTCTGTGCTATTTTTAGTGGGCATGAAATTTTGTTTACTGTTGTCTCCTGGAACAGTGGATGCCTTTGTTCCAGCAGTTATGCTGATAGAGGAATCCAGGGAATTTTGAGCTAACTTCGGGTTTATATTGGGAAGATTTTCTAAGCAATTTTCAGGATGCTTGAAAGATGCCTCACATAATACGTTTTGTTCTGAGGTAGAAAATACCTTAAGAGGATTGCCACTGCTTTCTTTCCCCAAATGACTCATTGTGCTACCATGCAAAATCTTATCTGCTTTACTTGTGCAGCTTGATGGCTCTCCCAACATCTTTAGCAGCAAGCTCTCTTTCTGGGGAGTGTTACTGGTCAGCCTATTTTTATGCAAGTCCAGATGTTGTTCCTTTTCCCTTGCATCAGATCCATTTCCTTCGGATGCGCGTGTCTCATACGCTGACCTGAAGATGCCTGCTATTTGTGGATTATAAAATTTATCACCTTCTACAAGAGAACATACACTAGAAATACAAAACATCTGATCTTCCAACACAGCTGTGGATGTATCTCCTGCCTCTAACACAGTTTGCTTGTCTTTATGATCTCTTACACCTTCTTGGAAGATTTGACTAGAAAAATTTATACCCGATTCAGGAAGAGAAATCTTGTTTTGTAATCCAAGCTGCAGATTTTCTCTGGAATCTTGTGCAGATTGGCTAACCTTCTTTTGGTTTTCATTATATGAATCATTTCCATTTACACTGGTTTTTACTCTTCTGTTTGCATCACCTAATTTGATCTGTTGCAAATGAGAGTCCACTTTCTGTTCCAGAACGCAATCACTGGGCGATGACCAAGCATTTTCTACTGCTCTTTTGTCAGTATTTGCCACATTTAAACCATTTTCCCCCGCTTCTTGCAAGCTACATGAGCTCTCCAAATCAATCACTGGATAGGTTTTATCTTCAGATGTTGGGATTTTGTCTGCTTGTTCACTCTGTGTTCTCTGTTCAGAAAGTACTAAAGGAGAGACAACTGCAACCTGAGGTTCAACATTTTTTATCAAATTGGAAGTCAGTGTATCAAGTTTTTGTCCTACAGAGGTAGTTGTTACAGGCAAAACTGCTTCATCCATACTAACCAGAACATTATTTTGTTCTCTCTTTTTTGTGTTTTGGCTGGAGGGCGAAATCTGATTTGCCGTGGGGCTTTCACTTGACTGTTTATTTTGCAAATTTACAGATTCTGATGAATGCTTCCGCCACAAGCTCAGGCATGCAGTTAGCTCTTCCATAGAGTAAGTACAGTTGATCTGTTTACAGGATGTATTTTCAGTAAATGGCATTTTTTTCTGAGCTACCTCATTCTGGAATTTAGCTTCATCAGATTTAGTTGTTTGCGACACAGGAGAGTTTGTGTGAACCGCAGATGCCTGCTCACCTTTTGATCTTTCTGCATTCCTCTCACTAGTCTCTTTTTGCAAGCTTTCACCTGAGACAGATGTATCTAGCATTTGTTTTTCATTACACAGGAGACTAGTCAGTATTTTATCAGCAGTAGCGCCAGCTGTCTTCTCTTTCAATACATTTGTGCTGCTTAATACAAACTGAAAAAACGATGAGTTCTCAGGGCTAATTTGCACACTCTTTGAAGCAATTTTGATGGAGCTACCTGCTTGACTAAAACATGAAGCACTGTTCAAGGAAACCGCAGTTTCTTGAGAAGAGGCCAAGGCATGCACACCCTGTTGTTCCAAGGTGGGAACACTCTCAGGATTATTTAATTGAGCTGCGAGTTTGCTTTGAGAGGGAATAGGAGCTAAGCTTGATGGAAGGCTTCCCTGCGACACCTGGGGGTTACTCTGAGGCCCCTCTAACATTCTGTTATCAGCATTGGCTGGATTTTTGTCTTTTCTTTCTTCATGTGAAATCTCTGTCATCACTGTTTGAGTTGAGGAAGGTGGTATATTTTGTTTAGGCACCCATGGAAGACAATTAGCAGCAGTAGAGTGATAACTGGGAGGAGGAGGGAGAATGCTTTTGTCATACTTTGAAGCTGCTAAGACTTTTCTTTTAAAATACCTTTCAAGCAGGGCACATTTTTTTTTAATACTGTACAGTCTCTCAGCTTCCCAAGCTAGTCTGTCCTTTACAATTTTTCTTTCATCTACTGCTGCTGAATAAAGTTGAGAATTAACAGGCCCATTCATTAAACTACTGGTCTGGCTTTCTTGAACTGAAGGAGGATCACTTGGTGGCTTTGAAGAAAGAGCTTCTATTTCTTTCATAATATCAAACGGGTCGTCAGGAATGCTAGGGGATGGCACAGTCATTTCACTAAAAGACCCATTTGCTGTCACACTTCCACTTGAATTACAGAAACTCCTAACTGATTGACTGACTTCTCCAGATAGCTGCTTCTGGCAGTGTGGCTGGATGCTGTTAAAACCAGAAGAATTTTTTTGATCCAGTGGGCTCCTCTGTTGGCTAAGGGTGTATCCATTAGGCATGTTTTGTACTTCCTGTGGTACACCTATTGAAGATTGTGCAGCAGCTCTTGAAACACAGTTGGCAGGCAACAAAGATGGTGCAGAACATCCTCTAGGAGCTTGTGATTCCATCTGACTTGGCTGAAACTGTGGAAGCTGTACATTTGTTTCAGTATTTTGATTCACTAAGTATGAACCCTTGCATTGAGCACTGGACTGAAATATTTGGTTTTGGACTTGTTGCCCTGATGTACCAAAAGACAGAGAATTATTCTGGGAATGAGTGCTACTTTGATATAATGCTGCAAGTCTCGAAGAATTTTGCTGCAGTATTTGTGGCTGTGCAGTGTAAGTGTTTGTAGCGGCATACTGAGGTCCCTGATGTACACTCCTCACGTTATTTCCAGCATTCATTGGAGAAGACAGGGGAGGTACATTTCTACAGGAATAACTGTAGGGATTAGAGACTGGCCAAGAAGTCTGAGTCATCTCTGTCTGAGAAGGTGGCTGCTGAATGGGAGGTTTCTGAGCTGTTACGTACATCTGTGGATGTTGTTTAACTGAGTATTTTGACATAAAAAAATTATTACCAGTTACAGATGCTCCTGGTAAGGTCTGATCAGACGTTTTGAATCCTTCAGCATTCACAAGAGGGAAGGTAACATTGATAGTTGGCAGATACATGATTTGGTTATTTTCAGCATAAGTGCAAGCATTTTTAGAGGAGCTGGCATTTGCCTGAGGAAAGGCATGTCCATTAGAAAGCAACTGAGTGCGACACGCTCCTTCACTTTGGAGGTTCATATTTGCATTAGCATTCTGGACTGGTCCTACATTCCAGTCCATCTTCTCTTGGTTTCTTTTTCTTCTGGTAAAACCAAAACACTAAAAAAAATGTTTAAAAATATTACAATCTTAATCTTTTGATCAAAACCTATTTCGCTTACTAAGAAGTGATTCAGAACGCATTATGAACAGAACTGTTGAACTTTAATGAGAGCAACCCCACTGGCACATTCCATGGACATCAATGCTGTCAATGTCCAAGTTGCATAAATTATTTACCAGAATGCTGTCAAGATACAAAAAGAGCAGCAACTAACAATTCTATTGACTGTCTAATGACTACAAAAATCCTCACAATTATTCTGCTAATTCTATTATCATTCAACTTTTTAATTTAACAATAGATGGCTGTATTTACCTTCTCATCCAAAAACAATGGAAAAAGCCCCCCAGATATTTGTACAACATGGCACAATGAGCAATGCTTAAGAGCTGAGCATGAGAAGCAACAGCAGAATAAAATACAGGCCAGAGTTTTCAGACAAGAAGACCTGATTTCAGTTATACCTTCAAATACAACCAAAAAAAAAAGAAAAAATGAATTTGGGTTTAGTAAAAATCTCTCACAGTAACGTGGCCCACTAGTTTTATTTTAATTTTGAGGAATATAACTCTGCCTATGGTAAGCTGTAAGGAAAGCTCTCATAATTCTAACACTGTAACATTAAGTTACACAGCTGGGAGGATGCATGGAAGCACGGAGATCACATCATCTCTTCTGCTGTTGCAGTACATACACCTTCAGGAGGTTACATGAAGCCTGAACAACAGGCCCTGAGCCAAAGCTGACCTCTAGATGAACCTTCCGACCTAACATTATACTTATCTGTGTATCCACTCATTGGCTAAAGCAAACATATAATTGTTAGTGAAACATGTAGTATGATAAGACTACACCTGTGTATCTGCTCATGAACAAAATATGTGTCCTTATTAGTAGGATATATTAGTATCCACTCATTAGTAAATAGTACTTGTATCTGTTCATTAAAGAAATATATATGATTGTTAGCAAAATATGACATTTCTCTTTCCGTATTTGGAGACTGGTCAAGGCCATGGAAGTAGATGTCTGGCCTTGTTTGGCAGTAGATGTTTGGCTGACTTCCTTGGCTTTCCCCCTGAGCCCTGGGCCAGGCTCTGGGAGGAACCCAGGAGGAGAAGGAAAACAGATGTTCTTCCACAGTTGTAGTAGTGTAAGCTTGTTTATTCAACAATATAAGAGCTGGACACTCTCACAGCGAAGATGGAGACCTCATCCACGAGTGGATGCACTGAGTAGGATTTCCCAGTTACCGGGAACGGTTCTTTAATCCCTTGCTGTGACCGGGGCTCCCCAGCTCACGGGCGGGTGTGGATGGTGCTAACCCATTAGGGTAACTGGTGATGTATCTTTCTTAATCACTATAGGCACTCTTTGCGATAATGATTAGGTGCATTACTGGCCTTATCCTTTTGTAATTCTTTGCTGTTTTGCACTATAGTAAAATTACACACTTGTTCCTCAGAGTTGGTGTCCGTGTTGTGCTGACCCTCATCCCCCGGCAAAACACAAAGTCACGTATCTCTAAGTCTCCATGTGTTATATTCCAGAACATACATGTATTACCAACAAGCCCAACTGGGTGAGCATGTTACTCTGTAAAATTGTTAGAGTGAATATCTGCAAAGCCAAGCCCTATTTCAGTCTTCAAAAGGACAACCTACAAGCATGAATGGAGCCTGCATTTCAACAAGTTTCTCTCAGTATGGTCAAATCCAGCTAGGACATAATTAACACCTCACTTTGTGCAGGGTATTAGACAGTTCTCAACAAAATGTTTCATGCCACTTCTCCCAGATCACCCAAAGCTCCTTAGTTTCCTTCATGGCCTCTTTTAGATTTTAAGACTCTTCTGATTTCAAGCTTGGGAATCAGAAGTTGCACTTATATCTAGCCTATAAAAAATAAGACTCAGTGTTACAATTTTCCAGGTGTTATTTTCAAGATTCAAAGACAGCTCTATTGTTCTTCACCCTACCTTTTATCTCCTCTGCTCTCATAGGACACCATTAACAAAAGGAAAACCAGAAAACAAGGTTGTATATGAAATCAGCAAAAAGCACCAACAGCAGTGTTAAGGCAATACTTACAGTGATGCAGGAATCTTAGATGAGACAAGAGGCTTTTGCATCCAAGGTAAAGATTTCAGACTGCTACTGTTACACTGGGTATTTCCTGAAAAATCATCAGAGAATAAAACAATCACGTCCTTGAATTAGATAACTGTTAAAGAAATTTAAGACATTTACATTCTTTAGAAACATGACTCACAGAGCAAACAAGACTAAGATGACAACCAGAAGCAACTGCAAAATCCTTGCTAGAGGAGGAACTTTGATTACATGCAAGACCCAACTTCACCAATAGTAAAATCCAATTACTGTCACTATCAACACAATAGAAATGACTACAACCTTAGTTTGTCAATCATAATTATTGGATGGATTATGAAAATTAGGTTTGCAATTCTCATCACAACCTTAAAAATTCTTGTAAAGCTTTAATACAATGAAACACACTTCTTCAAAAAGATATTTGGCAGAGAGCTCTTGTCTTAGGAAGAACATTTGAGAAGTTCAGTGTCAGCACAAGACTCGGAAAGAGAACGAGAAGACTACTCACACATCCCTGCTTCACTCGTTCAGCTGCTACCTTCTCCTCTTAACCACAAGCATCAGAAATCATCAGCCATGGCTACACAATGAACTGTCAATTTTTGGTGGACAGTACACAAAAAGGAATGAAGACATCCCCATTGAATGCAGAAGTAACACCACAGCTCTTTAACAAATCTACCTGACTAAAATGCCAACCCATAGACTACTCCATCAGGTAGTTTTAGGCACGTCTCTGGACTGTGTCTTATTTAATGTCCCTAAATCTCTCTGTGGAGACACCACACAAAGATTTGAGGGAAAATTGGGCCACCTATATAAAGACCAACAAGTCCAACTGCTACAGGTGTTCATTCTAGGAAAGAAGGAATAATACACCTGTTTAAATCTGCTTAGGTATGGAGAGGTAAAGTTTCCCTTGTGGAAAGGAATTAAGTTTGAATATACCTGAAAGCGAGATTGACACAAACAAGGCCAGATGTTGGATTCCAAAATGATAAGTCAACTTGATTTTCTAAAATGATAGGAGATGAAGAAGAAGGAAAACATAAAAGTAGGAAAAGCTGAAGCCACTCAATTGAGGCAGTCTTTGAGAAACAAAAGGTTAACTCAAACACAAAATCATGGAAGTAGTTCCAAAACCCTAGCATTAGGAAACCACAGAAGTAATAAATTGTCTGAGGAACAGAACATGTTGACAAGATAGAACATTTAAAGCATAAAACAAAGGGATAGCAACATCAGCAAATTTTAGGACGAGCCAAAAGTCAACCTGACCCTACCACACTTGCCAACTATCCAAATTAAGGAAAGATCTGAGGAAAGTTCAAAAGTTTACAATAAGGAAGACCAACAGACGACCACTGCCCATGATGAAGTGCTTTTTTGGGGCAAAAATTCGGTTTCAAAGCCAACAGAAATCACCAGAAGCACAGAAAAGGGGTTACCACCACCATGGGCTCAGCACTGGCTTGTAAATTTAGTCCTCCATGGTGGGGAAGATCTCCTTATGGGGAGGACAAGGAAGACAAACCCATCAACCTGACCCTACAATTTTTGTGTTGAATTCTCATCTCCCAGTCAGGTACAAAATCAGGATCCTTTTATACCTTATCAACCATTATTGTGCAAAGTGCTGTCGGTGGGACTGTGGTCAAACTGTCTGTTCTTTGTGGTCATGTTGTAAGTAATATTTCTCAGTAGGAGGTATACTTGGTAGCAGTTGCACAAAACACTTCCTGGTATCAAGCCAAAGAATGAGACCACACAGCTCCTACTCCACATTCCTTCCTGGTGCCAAGGAAACACAACCTGACCTCCTCCCACTCCTGATGTCTCTCACCACAGTATATTGATGACTTTCCTAGCAGATAGAGATGGGAATCTTGCACAAGATATGATCCCAAATTTCAGCCTTTAAAGAACATCAGGAACTTTATATTATTCCTGGTAAATGCCAGGGTCCTGCTCAGAAGTAAGGTGTTTGGGTTATTTTTAAAAGTCTTCTTGCATGCCAGTACCAAAGGTATTTCTGAAAGTCTCTGGCAGTCTGTTTCCTTTACCCAACCTACTCCCTCCTCTAAATGCAATTATCAAGTCTCCTAGGCTCTTTAATTGTCATGATAAGGCCTGGGTTTTAGTCAGATGGCCACCCTCTCTGTTCCTTGCTGTGCGCACATTCCACCTGGGATTGAAATATGAGTTACCAACACATTCAACCCTTCTCCTAAAAGTATTCAACAGTATCGGTGCTTGGGACCCCTCACTCCTACTCGCGGACAGGGTCCAACAGAGTCAAAGCTGCTTCGTGGTGACCGTTCCAGGAAACAGGTCACAAGGATTCTACCCCTTTTTGGGGCAGAGCAGGGAAGGAGCAGGGGCAATCTCTTTTGGCACCAAAGGGTAGCAAGACTCACTTATTCCAGAAGCCTCTCCCTGCAGTGCCCCACCAAAGGATGTGTGGTTTACAGAAGTCTCCACAATCCATCACCATAAATGCCTGGTTTGGACATGCCACTGCTGTTCATACTGCAGATGACCAAGCTGTTACACCCCACTGCCCATGATAGTGCCCAGATGGCCCTTTGCATAGTCATCCTTTGCATAGTCATCCTCTGATGGTATACAACTCCTGGGTTGTTTTTGCAGGGTGCACCACTGGAAGCACAATCCTTCACATCCATATTGTGAAAATTTGCGGCTGAATTCTTTGTGAAGAAACATAGACTATGCCCATTCATGTACTTCAGCTGTGAGCCAGATTCATTCCTATTCTTCTTGTCCTGTGGCCAAGGCCATACAAAACGCCAAGGTAGATGTCACTGCTGTGATCAAACAGTGGTGGCAAACATTGACACCTACGAGTTAAGTCAACTGCAGTGCAAGAGTAGCAGACGAAAGTGAGGAAACTTTAGCCCAAGCCTCTAACTTACACAGTGACTACCCCACCACAAAATCTTCACTTTCCCTTACAGGTATCATTACTTAAGTTGAGACTAGGACAGTGGTTGACCAAAACCACTACACTTTTATGGCAATGCCCAAAACACAGTGATTGCACGTTATTACTAAATCTTTTGGGATAACCCAAGGGAACATTTCCTCAGCTCTGAGCTGCCTTCAAGCAGCCAAGGGCATGAGCTGCAGTATCTGGAATTTTAAGACAAGGTGACAGAGAATCCCACCTCCTGAAACTCTTAAAAGTTGCCCAGAATAATGCCACTGACACCAAATGACACCTGCATGCCTGGCAGCTCTTGGTAAACTTTACATATAATGCAAACACAGGCTTATCTGTTGCTTATGTGTTCGCACACAAACATGCAATCAACTGATTGTGTATGTGCTGTGGTATATAATTAGCATTAATTACAATGCTTAAGACAAGCAACTCATCAAATAACTGTAACCTTAACCACTTATGTGCAATACACCACATATTTATGATAGAGGCAAGAGGTACCTGTACTACCAGTGAGTCAATAAAGTGCACTGACTGTAGTCACAGGGTGGATATGACGGATGCACTCGACTCCTTGACCAAATTATTGATAGTTTGGCCCAGGCTCACAAGGAAGTAACAGGCCTAGGCCATGACCAGGTCAAGAACTCATCGCTCGTCTAGTTCCAACCTGTTCTTTGAAAACCCTCACAGGAACAGGCTGACAAGGTGGAAAACTTTGATGCATGAGCCGGGACACCAGAATCCAGCAATGGCAGTAACACATGAATAGCAGGTAGTTCTTCCAAGCACAATTAGTAAGGAACAAATGAACTTGTGGGTACAAGGAATTTCATGCCTACCTTTTCCATCCCGTGTAATTTGACTATGAGTCAACCACTTCATTCCACAAATATGACAGCCCAAGTGAGCCTTTTTTGATCTCTTCCTGCTAAGCAGCCAGCTGCATGGCAGTAATCTCCCCTCGACTTGGGACTCCTCTACTCTTTTAGGCTGAAAGACTCTTTACCAACTGCAGATCTTTGGCAAGTGACTGATATCAGGCATAACCTTGTATCATAAGGCATTAAGGTCATGTACTGATACTTTTGAATTATTACTATTATTGTATCTGTATAGTAAGATAAGGCTTGCTTTTACAATATCTTATTTCAATAAAACCACTCTTCCTGCTACCTTTGGCAGTGGTCTTTAAAGTGGTATAAATCTGTACAACAAGTGTAAGTGAGACACTCAAAATAGGTATAAATTATTCTTATTCGTTATTAAAAGCTCCCTTTAATTGGACCAAAACTTTAAAACCACAATACATCTGTATTTCAATGCCAGCCTGATCACAGTTGTTTCCTACCTCCCCAGAACATGGACTTGAGCAAACAGAAGATTCCAAGAATTGAAAGGACAAAAGTTCAGCAGCAGGCCAGCAAAACTTGGCTCCCCCATTTCTGCTTCTGAACTTGTAGCAGCCAGTCACATTTAACCTGAGGCATTTAAAATTAGCTCAGTATGCTTGACTTATGGTGTCATAGAAAGATGGCCTGAATCAATTAACGGTGCCTAAAAGAAAGAGTACATGCACACCAAGAATTCTCACTTTCTTCTGTTCATAAATGTATTTTAGATGTCACAGCAGCACCAGCACACAGGGGTTTTCTTGCCACAAGAATTCTTAGCAGTTAAGTAGGAGATAATTTGTTGCAAATTACTTAAATTTCAGACTAACAGTCAATCACAGAATAGTTACTGTAACCTTAAGCATATAAAGAGTAGTCACTTCTCTTTGCAAATTCCCATTCTACCATTTCCAAAAGTGTATTTCCCACTTTGGCCTATTGACTTCTGACGAATCCTGATCCTGATGAGATGCATCCCAGAAACCTCAAAGAGCTACCTGATGTCATTGCAAAGGCTCTCTTAATGATTTTTGAGCAGTCTGGGGAATCCAGAGAGCTCCAAGATGACTAGAAGCTGGTGAATGTTGTCCCGATTTTCAAGGTCAAGAAGGAAGGCCCTGGAAACTACAGGTCTGTCTCACTTTAGTACCCTATAAAACCACGGAAAACATTATTCTGGGAGATACTGGAAAACACCTGGAGGAC